GGGGGTGGCTCAGTTCCCGAAGCGCCGACACCTGTCGTGACTCATCGCGAAATTAATGGGGGGTCGTACTGAGACGGACCCACAATCAGAATTCGGAAAACGATATTCGTTTCCGTATTCATGACATTTACACGGTCTGCCTAATTTTTCTGCGAAGCCAAGCAAACCACGGAAAGACCTACGTTTCCTGCGAGCCCCGCACGTACACACAACGTACAATTTCATGCTGGAGCGGCTTCAACGTGAAATTCCACAGAACGATATTGTTGCATGGATTTCTCCTCTTCGACTACCATCCCTATTCCTTTCTGATGGAAGCAACACACACTTGCAAGACAACGCGTGCTTCCTGCGAGTGGAGCAGGTGTGCAATACGTACCACATATTCTCATACGCACCTCTCCGAGGGAGTAGAGCTCAGAGGGGATTGATGCGTCCGTGCGCGCGTCCGTCTTTGATTTTTCTGGCCGTTTCGCTAGGGACATCCTCGAAATTCTGAAAATCGGTGGCACCCCTCACGCAGATCGTGAAGGAGAGGTCCAAAAACACATAGGAATTCAACCAATGTTAACATAAAACCTTCAAAAACACATGGTAATTTCAATAATTTTGACCCCGATTCTCAGAGAATGGCGGTTTCGCCTGAGACATCCTCCCAACATCGAGCCCCAGACCCCTCCTCGGAGCCTCCTGGGGGCCTCCTGGAACCTCCTGGGGCCTCCTGGGGTTTTCTGGACTTTCTGGTACCCCAGACCCCGCCTCGGAGCCTCCTGGAGTTCTCCTGGGCCTGCTGAGGCCGCCTGGGGCCTCCCGGGGCCTGCTGGGGCTTCAGAACTACATGCACACACAGAGACACAAATCACGCCCAACACATCACACGCTAGACAAACAACATACACACACACAACACCGACAACACACAAAAAGCACGCACCACACAAAGCACACATCACACACACACACAACACTCACAATCCTGGGGCCTCCTGGAGCCTCTTCTGGTATCCAAGTCGGGCCTCCCGAGGCTTCCTGGGGGGCCCTGGTACACACATCGCAAGCTGTGGCAACCCCACTTGCGCTCGAGTGCGACTTCGCTGTTGCATGTCACTCCTGCTTCAAACGCCCCTTCAGCTTGTTGTATGAGCCTGGGCACACACGTGCCACTTGTTATTGCAACAGCTACAATGTATACAGGACGGACGACGGAGACGACGACGACGACGACAGAGACGACGACGACAACGGCGACGACGGACGACGGAGACGACGACGACGAGGAAAATGACGACGATGACGACGACGGACGACGAAGGACGACGACGGACGACGACGATGGACGAAGGAGACGACGACGGACGACGGTGACGACGACGACGACGACGGACGGCGACGGACGGCGACGGACGACGACGGACGACGACGACGGACGACGGCGACGAATGACTACAGACGACGACGGACTACGACGGACGACGACGACGACGACGATGACGACGGCGACGCAGAAACGACGATGACGACGGAAAACGGACAACGACGGACAACGACGACGACGACGAACGACGACAGACGATGACGGACGACGACGGACTACGGACAACGACGACGACGATGATGGACGACGACGACGACGACGACGATGATGGACGACGGACGACGGACGACGACGGCAACGCCGACGACGACGACGACGACGACGACGACGACGACGACGACGACGGACGACGACGGACGACGACGACGACGACGCACGACGACGACGACGACCACGACGACGACGACGACGACGACGACGACGACGACGACGACGACGACGACGGACGTCGCGGGCCGGCCCGGTGTGGCGGTGTCTGGCGTGGCGGTCCGGCGTCGCGGCCCTGGCGAATAGCGCGGGCCAGCGTGGCGGTCCGGCGTCGCGGAGTCCGGCGTCGCGGAGTTTGGTGTGGCGGTCCGGCGTCGCGGTTTCCGGCGTCGCGGTCGCATTAAGGGAACAAAGAGTGACATAAACATAAAAATTCGGAGGTCCGCGCGGATTTCTCGGATCGGCGCTGGACCCCTTTTTTTGGCGCGCGGAGCGCGCCACGGGCGGCGCCGGAGTCGCCGCCGGGGGGCCCCATGGGCGCCGATCCGAGAAATCCGCGCGGACCTCCGAGTTTTTATGTTTATGTCACTCTTTGTTCCCCTACCCATGTCCCTGGAGGCTGAACATGGCGCAAAAGTCCGTCGCGTTGTTGTTCACAGCGCGAGGGGGTCTGGGTACCACCAAGGCCATCCCGCCCGACAGGGTCGGAGGGGGGGGCTCATGTATGCGAGCACCCCCTGCGGGGGTGGTCCCCGGCCCACGCCTACCACGGGCCAGTGCCTCGCCGAGCCGCCTGCGGGGGCAAGAAGTCGCAGGCGGAGTGGTGCCACTCGCTGGGTTTAAGTCGGGCATGTCTCTCTACAGGAGGAATCTTCGAGAGTAGTCAAAACATAGTATGGGTGTGATTTTTCGTTCCTTTCTGACTATGTTTGAGCATGGTTTGTTTGTTTTGTTTTGCCCTTGTCCTTCCAGAATCCGCCTGTAGGAGGGCTGGCCCGACCTGACGCTGGGCTGATTGGGGAAAGGGGCGTGCGGTTGGCTGCATCGTCATCTGAGCGCTTGTGCCGTGTGTGAGGGTTTGCCTTGCATGTATCGCATATGGCTTGGTGGGTCATTGGGTTCAAGCGCCTTGCTGCTTTCCTCTCCACTCATGTATTCGACCCTGCCCGGGTTTACCAGGAGTGGTTTGTTGACTCCTATTCCGCGTTGGTCACGGCTGCTCAACTGAAGGGGGTGTTGCCTTTGGGATTGGCCGTGCGTTTGGCACGTAAGCCCTGTCGCGTTTGGGGCTGCGCTTTGTCAATGTAAGTCTCCCGTTAGGCCTTGATCGGCTCGAACACTACAATTTTTTGCCCATATCATTTCATTTCAATTCCGCTTCTCGCCACCCCCCCTGCCCGCGCGCGCGGATGGGGCGGGGGGCGTCGCCGATAATCGAAGGTTGTGTGCAAGCTTGAATAGCGTACACAGCAACTTCATGCCAGTGCACATATGACATGTATGTTCTCTTGCTTTCTTCCTCGTTCCTCCTCCCTGCAAGGTGTCTCCCCTCCTCCTCCATTTCCTTCGTCCCTTCCCCCTCTCAACCCGCCCGCCCGAGGATGAGGGGGGGTGTCCGCGATTATCGAAGGCTTCGTCGACCGATGGGCGCCTGGCCCTAGGAATTTCAGGAACTTCCACAGACCCGCATCCGTTGACTCTTTGGGCGCATCCCTCAACCGAATGACCCCAAGGTCGTGCACCCACGCCCACCGGTCTTGGATTCGTGTCTTCCATCCTCAGTCGAATGTTGAGTGCAGTGAGGCCTGCAGGAGTGCACCAATCAAGGTGATGGAGGGATCAGCCCACGCAGCCACCCACTGGAAGACGAGGCTGGAGAGTTTGAACCGTGGCGGAGGGAGGGACGCGGCACGGAGAGAATGAAGGATGAGTATGAAAGGGGCGGAAGAAGCGTCAGAAGATAGAGGAGGATCAGCACCGTCAGGCGGTTCAGAAACAGGCGTAGGAGCAGGATGCCAATGGTTGTGACGATGATGTATTATGATGGTGATGCTGACGAGCTTGATGATGATAAGGAGAATGGATGAGGCAGAGTCGGAGCATGAACAATATGAGAAGGCATGATGCAGAGCAGCAGGGGGAGAAGGGGGACGATGAGGAGGGGCAGGAGGAGGAGGAGTTGAGTGTGTGGTGAATGGCGGCGATGCATCTGATGATACTGATGCCGATGATGGTGATGATGATGCTGATGATGCTGATGATGCTGATGGTGGTGCGATGATGATGATGATGATGATGATGATGATGATGATGATGATGATGCTGATGGTGATGGTGATGGTGATGGTGATGATGATGATGATGATGCTGATTTTGATGATGATTATGCTGATGGTGGTGGTGGTGGTTGTGTTGGTGATGGTGATGGTGATGGTGTGCTGGTGATGGTGTTGACAATGGTGATGGTTATGGTGATGATGATGCTAATGACGAGGTGATGTAGGATGATTGTGATATCGATGAAGGCGGTGATGCTGATGTTAATGCTGAATATGATCACGATCATGGTGGCCATGATGCTGTTGTTGATGCTGATGATTATGATGCTTGTGGTAGGAGTGATGATGCTGATGCTCATGTGCTGATGCGCATGATGATGATGATGATGATGATGATGATGATGATAATGGCGATGCTGATTGTGATGTTGATGCTGATGGTGATGCTTGTGGTGATGACGATGATGCTGAGGATAAAGATGACGGTTGCGATGATGACGACTGGCGATGATGATGGTGATGACGATGCCGATGACTATGGTCACGATGATGACGCTGGGCGATGTTGATGCTGATGGCGATGATGCTGAGCATGTCGACGACGCCGACAACGATGATGATGATGATGATGATGATGATGCTGGTGAGTATGCTGATGTTGATGTTGATAATGATGCTGATGATGCTGATGGTGGTGATACTGATGATGATGACAATGATGATGCTGATGATTATGCTGATGATGAGAATGATGATGGTGATGGTGATGGTGATAATGTTTATGCGGCGGATGATGATGATGATGATGATGATGATGATGATGATGATGATGATGATGATGATGATGATGATGATGATGATGATGATGATGAATATGATGATGCTGATTCTGATAATGATAACGTTGCCGTTGATGTTGTTGATGATGATGATGATGACGATGATGATGCTGATGCTGATGATGATGCCGCTGATGATGGTGATGATGATGAGGAGGAGGAGGAGGAGGAGGAGGATGAGGAGGAGAAACAACAGCAACATTCGCAGCAGCTGGGCGGCGGAGGCAAGAGCAGGCAGCATGGCGGTGAAGGCGGTGGCGGCTGCGTCGGCGGCGAAGCCCGCCCAGCGCCCCGCGCAAGGACATCCTCGAGCGCATAGACATGACCGCGGGGCGGAGTGTGGAGGATCAGCTGCAGGCCCCCGCGGCCTCCTCCTCCTCCTCCTCCTCCTCCTCCTCCTCCTCCTCCTCCTCCTCCTCCTCCTCCTCCTCCTCCTCCTCCTCCTCCTCCTCCTCCTCCTCCTTCCCCCCTCCTCCTCCTCCTCCTCCTCCTCCTCCTCCTCCTCCTCCTCCTCCTCCTCCTAGTAACCATCTGGGCTCGAGCACTTGCTCGCATCCCGAGTTACCGCCGCTCTGCACGTGCAGGGCCCCCCCGCTTCGCCCCGTGGATGGTCGTGGCTGCGAGGCTCGATTGGATTCTCGCGCAGCTACGGGCTGGGCGAAAGGCTCGTTTCCGTTTGGCCTCACATACTGACCGTTTGCTGCTCCAGATCGTCTTCCTCCCCGAGGTAGACGACAAGACGCAGAACGCCATTCTGATCGACCTCATCTACTCGGTGATTGGCTCGCTCCCCTGGACCGTCTCGGTGGACCACGGCCACAAGAACAGCCGAGGAGAGGCCCACATCTCTCTTCAACTTCGGGCTGTCGCTGGACCCGCCGATGCCCCTGCGGGGCCCGACGGACATGATGGAGGAGACGAGGATGATGGACCAGATGATCGCCCTGGAGGCCGTGCTCGTCGCCGATTGCGTGACCCTTGGCATGTCACGGGTCTGGACCCGTGGTCTTCTGCTGCTGCTGGGCCTGATGGTGGAGGTAATGATCATAGGTCTTGGGACGATGCCAAGCGTCCTCGGCGTCATGCTGACCATGGCCATACTCCTGCTGATCTACCTGCGATTCCTGTCTTTCCTCTCAATTATGATGCGTAGGTCTTCGTGCCGATCGGCGAGGACCATTCTCTCGCCCCTGGTCGTGCACCTGACGATGGCACTGAGAAGGTGGAGGAGCTCTTACTCGAGGACGACGGGATGACCATTGAGGAGTTGCTGCTACTTGCGGGTCCTGATGGTGCCGACCTACCCTGTGCTGGGCTACCTAGTTCTGATCTTCTTCTCGCCCCTGGTCGTGCACCAGATTGTTCTCCTGGAAAAGTTGAGGAAGTTTTACCTAGCGAGATCAAGGATATGTTCCTGGCGATACAGGCAGACATTGACGTGATGACGAAGTCTCTCTCTGCGCCTGCTCCTGACGCTGCACATCGTCAGGATGGTGTGCCCCGTGCTTCAGAGGGGCCTCCAGCACCCCTTCCTGCTGAAGGATCTGCTGGTGCTCCAGGTCTTGCTCCAGTTCCTGCTGCTCCTGCCATTCAGCCTACAGTTGCCGAGTTTTGTCGAGGGCGAGGTTGGGACTTGGACAGGATGATCGGGAGACATGCGCGAGTGGATAGTTTACACAGCTTCCTCAATGGTGAAATGGTGGTTATTAGTGGCTGTGACAAATACCAAAAGGCTTGGAATCAGTTCGTAGAGATCACTCCTGTGAGCGTGTTCTCCATGGCCACACACCTGATCAAGGCTACCTGCTTGCGTCTTCCCACGGTGTCCGAGGAACAGCCATGGAAGGGAGCCATCCCTGGCCAGGCGCTTTATCATGATGCTGACAGTCCCTTACCTGCTGTTCCGCGGCTCAGGCGGGAGATTCTTTTCAGGCATCACTGCCCTCACAGTGACGACAAGGTTGATGGCCCTGCCTCGATCTGGGAAGTTTGTCAACGCTCGGCCTGGCCATTGGATCTCTTTGTGCGACGGTTTGCAAGTGTGATGGAAGGAGTGTTCATTGGCCGAGTCGGCACTATCTTGTCTGTCGTGGGGGAGGCCAATTTCGAGGTGGGGATCTACCCTGATGGGGACAAGGTCGAGGTGAGTGCCCACGATGTGTGCGAGACCTCTGACCCCTCCTGTTCGTCGTGCCGCTGATGGGCTCCACCGGCCTGTTCGTCGCCGACTGCGGCTACGTGGATCCTGACAAGCTCGCCGGCACTTCATGGCCGTCATGGGCGCTGGCTCCCTGGACACGCTGGGTAGCCCTTCGGGGCTTTGGGCCTGTCGTGGACCTGCGTGCCACGGCAGGACAGGGGAGGGCGACGGGACAGCCTCCCCTCGGGGGCTGCGCCCTCCCTCTCCCCTCCAGGTGCTGCCTACCTCCTCAAGGTCCTGGACGGGTGGGCGGGGGGCCGCGGGCGGCCGACCTCGGCGTCCGCCTCGGGGCGCCCTCAAAAAAAAAACTCCTCCTCCTCCTCCTCCTCCTCCTCCTCCTCCTCCTCCTCCTCCTCCTCCTCCCCCTCCTCCTCCTCCTCCTCCTCCTCCTCCTCCTCCTCCTCCTCCTCCTCTTCCTCCTCCTCCCTCTATCCCCCCGAGAGTGCCGCCTGCGGCGCCGCCAGGGTGCGGCTCTCGGGGCCGGAGGCTGCATCATTCCGCCCCCCTGTCCAGCAGTGGCGAAGCGTCGTGGCTCACTTATAGGCCCACCGAAGAATTTTCAAATAATCTTTTCTTGTCCGGGGTGGACAGACTTCGTACCCTGACACGTCGATCTGTGAATCGGCCGTTTTCGGTTCGCGAGGGGGCGTCGCGGCCGTCATGTTTGCGGGTCCAGGTCCGTCGGTTTCGGTCCCAGGCCGTTTTTCATTAAGGGGAGGTTTGCTAAAGGGAGGTTTGTCCACCGCCGATATAGGCCCACCAATGAATGTTAAAGTAACCTTTTTCTTGGGGTTTGCACGACCTGTTCTTGGAACATCTCTGGTTGGGGCTGTGTTTTTTCTTGTTTTTTATCACACCGGGCTTATGGTCTAAGAGCATTGTTTGTTCTTGGGGCATCTTTGGGGTTCAAACAACATTCCGTGGTAGGCCTACGGGAATGCCGGGACGGTCGGTCCCTGCTCAGCCCTGCGTGCGCCAGCCTCCCCGAGGTCTCTCCTTGCCTGCCCGCCGCCGCCGCCCCGATGCCCTGCGACGCGCGGGGAGCGGCGTCGGCATCTTCCCGCAGGCCCCGCGGCAGGCCTCGGCGGGACCCGCGTCCCCCCCTCCTGCGTTGGTCGCCTCGCCCACCCGCTCGCAACTGATCCAAGCACGCGGGGAGGAAGTGGTCGCGGGAAGGCGATATACAGTGGAAACCCATGCCAAAAGATACCCTGCTTGCCTCCAGGGTGCCCTCCTGTTTCTTTGGCTTCGGTGGTCTTGGTGTGGAAAGCGTGACGTTCCCACAACAAAAGTCAATGGACATCCTGGGGTCTCAGGGTCGGGTTGCTTTTGGAAGGCTCCTTGTGGTCGGGCCCCTACTGTAGTGAGTTGATAGCGGTTGCCCCTCACCCGTGGATGACTTCCGAGGCCCCAGGCACACGGATCCCGGACGGCGGGACCCAGAGGTCACGAAGAGGTGGAGGTTTTCCATTCACTTCTTAATCCGTTCCAGGTACACGCGCGTCGGCGGCCATGTCGGCGGCGTACACTGTCTCGCCTCCTCTCAGGGAGGAAAAGCACAGACACAAATGATCATCAGTTCCCCGGGAAATAAGGGAAACTATGGGAAGTGGGGGTGACGACGAACCTCCAGAACACGTGCGAACCTGTGGGGGATCTTGCGATTCGTGTGTGTGTGTGTGTGTGCCTTTGTTTGTGTGCCCCTGAGCCCCAGTCATCCCCTCCCCCCCATCAGATGGCGTCGGCGCCTCGGCCGCGACGGGTTCCAGAACAACCCGGCTGCGGTCAGCAAGCGCGGACGTCGGCATCGTCGCCTATGGGCCGCGCGGTCGTGCCCATCCAGTTCGCGCTTGTCCAGGATGCTCGCAGTTGGAGTCTCGATAACAGATCGTGTGTGACGCATCGTCTCGACATGCCGAGCGTTACCATCGTGGTTTCTTTTTGGTAACGAGTCCTGAGGCACACCGCACATCTCCATCACGCTTCGGCATCTGGGTGGCGCTGCGGCCCCAGTGTGCCCCGATGAACCCGACGAGCTACCAACTGACACTGACAGTCGCGATGGGCTGAAGGTGGCGAGCGCCTTGCGCCAGGGCGCCCCCCGTCGGCCGGCTCGCGCTCGGACTCGGAGGCGGGCGGGCGCAGACCCGCCGCCGCGTCGATGGAGGGCCTGTCCTCGATCGGCGGCAGCAGGCGAGCAGCCCGCCGACGCTGGGACAGATCCACCAGAGGCCCACACGGGCGTTGCACCAGCCGGCCCGAACGTTGCGAGCGGGGGCGGATTAAGCATGCGCGGCGAAGTGGCGAGGTAGGCGATCTGGGCGCGGTCGATCGCGGCGCGCTGGCCCACGCGCATGGGCGGGCGCAGGCGCAGCCGCCCGGCGAGCGGCATAGGTGCGCCGCGCGCGAGGCAGTCAATCAGGGGGGCGCATAGGCGGGGTCCGGGGCGTCCTTTGTTGGTCCCTGGGAGGCTCATTGTTTGACACCCCTCACAGGGATCGTGGCCCCAGTGGGGGGGGTAAGTAATTGCTTTCGTTTGTTTTTCCTCCGTGGGATCGCGGGGAGGGCGGGGCGGCGCCCGACGAGCCTTGTTGGGTCGCGAGGCGCGGTGGGATAGATGGGGGCGCGGCGCCGCGTGCGTGCCCCTTTTTGCCTTCGTCTGCTGACGGCATGGCGTTACTCGAGGGGCCCAGCCGCCTCCAGGGGCGAGCCGGGGCCATCTGCCAAAGGGGCCCAAGGTTTGGCCCGCGGGCCGATGCAGCCCTGCGCTCCGGTTCTCAGCCGGAGAAGCGCGGCGCACTGCGAGCCGGGAGCGAGTCTTGAGGCCGCCCTTTCCGACGCGTCTTCCGACGCGGGGAAGCCCGGCCAAGTTGCTAAGCAGCAGCAGTCGGCGCGCGGACGCGTCGCGCTGTTTGGCCGCGCCACTGGGAAGGGGCAAGGCCATCTACCCCGAGCCGCTGAGAGGGCCCAAGCGGCGGGGCAACCCGTCGCTCGGGCGGCGGGGCGACGCGCCGCCGGAGCGGCCAGATTCCGCATGGGATCAGCAGAGAGGACGTTCACCCCTGATCCTGTTGCGCCGAAGCACGGGGCGGTTTGCTCCAGCTGCTACATTCGGGGCACTACACAAGGGACCCTTTTCGATGGGGAGGGGCTCCGT